ATGCGATTTCGAATTCTCACAGCTCCTCATTATTTTCTCGCCTAATGGTGAGAAATGTTCAACTTTCAACTGGTGTATAGGTTCCTGTGCCTATTGGGCTGTCATATCTACAGTTGAAACCGTGTATGGAATCTGAAATGAAATGAACACTGAAACAAAATGTCTAATATACCGATGAGTCGTTTGGGTACTCAGTTTCCACTTGTGTCCCCTTATGCGAGTAGCCCGTGTTAAATAATGTCTTCATCTACCCAGTCAATTCCCCAGAGAATTGTGTATATATGGTAATGCTGTCTCCCTTAACTCTTGTGTCTTCCTGCGACGTGGGTTCTCAATGCACGCAGTCTTCCCTCGTAACTCATGCAAGTTCTGCAACTTGTCTGGTGGCATACCTTTGAACCTTCTCCAACTTCGTCTTATGCTTGACAAGGTATATATGGACTCAGTACTGAAGCCATGTAGTCTTTTTATATATATATATATATATATATATATATACAATTTGTTACATTCTTGTACAGCCACTAGTACGCTTAGCGTTTCGGGCAGGTCCCTGGAATACGATCCCCGAAGCGAAGAATCGTTGTTACAACCAAGTACACATTTTACTGTTGAGTTAAACAGAGGCTACAGTTAAGGATTTGCGCCCAGTAAATCCTCCCCGGCCAGGATACGAACCCATGACATAGCGCTCGCGGAACGCCAGGCGAGTGTCTCACCACTACACCACGGAGACTATAATGTTTCCTTATACAAATTTTTAAAGGCAGTTTTCATTTTAGCCAGCCTCGCATACGACTCTGATGATATCCTTTGGATGTGGGCTTTAGGAGACAGGTTTGGTGTGATATAAATTCCACGATCCTTCTCTCCGTATGTTTCATAGAATATTTCGTATTCCCATTGGTGTACTCCGTGTCTGGCCTCCTGCTCTCATATTACCTTACATTTACTTGGGTCGAACTTTAGTAGCCATTGTTGAACCATTCCTTCAGTTTGTCCAGGTCATCTTGTAGCCTCTTGCTATCTTCCTTTGTCTTACTCCTCCTCATATTTTTTTCCGTCATAAGCAAGGAGCGAGTCTATTGCTTGTGGAAGATTGTTTACATATACCAGAAACAGGAGGTCCAAGGACTGAACCCTGTGGGACTCCACTAGTGACGTCTCTTCACACACCCCTCGCAGTGACTCGCTGTCTTCTGTTGCTTAGGTACTCCTTTATTCACTGGAGTACCTCCCGTGCATTTATTGACGTTGAGGGTCACCCCCATGTGTGGTGTTGACCCCCCCCATGTGTGGTGTTGACCCCCCCATGTGTGGTGTTGACCCCCCCCATGTGTGGTGTTGACCCCCCCATGTGTGGTGTTGACCCCCCCCCATGTGTGGTGTTGACCCCCCATGTGTGGTGTTGACCCCCCATGTGTGGTGTTGACCCCCCATGTGTGGTGTTGACCCCCCCATGTGTGGTGTTGACCCCCCCATGTGTGGTGTTGACCCCCCCATGTGTGGTGTTGACCCCCCATGTGTGGTGTTGACCCCCCCATGTGTGGTGTTGACCCCCCATGTGTGGTGTTGACCCCCCAAGTGTGGTGTTGACCCCCATGTGTGGTGTTGACCCCCCATGTGTGGTGTTGACCCCCCCATATGTGGTGTTGACCCCCCCCCCATGTGTGGTGTTGACCCCCCCCCCCATGTGTGGTGTTGACCCCCCCCCCCCCCATGTGTGGTGTTGACCCCCCCATGTGTGGTGTTGACCCCCCCCCCATGTGTGGTGTTGACCCCCCCATGTGTGGTGTTGACCCCCCCCCCCATGTGTGGTGTTGACCCCCCCATGTGTGGTGTTGACCCCCCATGTGTGGTGTTGACCCCCCATGTGTGGTGTTGACCCCCCATGTGTGGTGTTGACCCCCACATATGTGGTGTTGACCCCCCATGTGGTGTGTTGACCCCCCATGTGGTGTGTTGACCCCCCCATGTGTGGTGTTGACCCCCCCATGTGTGGTGTTGACCCCCCCTGTGTGGTGGTGACCCCCCCATGTGTGGTGTTGACCCCCCCATGTGTGGTGTTGACCCCCCATGTGTGGTGTTGACCCCCCATGTGTGGTGTTGACCCCCCATGTGTGGTGTTGACCCCCAGGTGTGGTGTTGACCCCCCATGTGTGGTGTTGACCCCCGATGTGTGGTGTTGACCCCCCCATGTGTGGTGTTGACCCCCCATGTGTGGTGTTGACCCCCCCATGTGTGGTGTTGACCCCCCATGTGTGGTGTTGACCCCCCCCCCATGTGTGGTGTTGACCCCCCCCCCATGTGTGGTGTTGACCCCCCCCCATGTGTGGTGTTGACCCCCCCATGTGTGGTGTTGACCCCCCATGTGTGGTGTTGAACCCCCCCCATGTGTGGTGTTGACCCCCCCCCATGTGTGGTGTTGACCCCCCCCATGTGTGGTGTTGACCCCAGTGGTGTCTGTAGCGACGGTTCTTCACACCAGTGGTGTCTGTAGCGACAGTTCTTCACACCAGTGGTGTCTGTAGCGACGGTTCTTCACACCAGTGGTGTCTGTAGCGACGGTTCTTCACACCAGTGGTGTCTGTAGCGACGGTTCTTCACACCAGTGGTGTCTGTAGCGACGGTTCTTCACACCAGTGGTGTCTGTAGCGACGGTTCTTCACACCAGTGGTGTCTGTAGCGACGGTTCTTCACACCAGTGGTGTCTGTAGCGACGGTTCTTCACACCAGTGGTGTCTGTAGCGACGGTTCTTCACACCAGTGGTGTCTGTAGCGACGGTTCTTCACACCAGTGGTGTCTGTAGCGACGGTTCTTCACACCAGTGGTGTCTGTAGCGACGGTTCTTCACACCAGTGGTGTCTGTAGCGACGGTTCTTCACACCAGTGGTGTCTGTAGCGACAGTTCTTCACACCAGTGGTGTCTGTAGCGTCGGTTCTTCACACCAGTGGTGTCTGTAGCGTCGGTTCTTCACACCAGTGGTGTCTGTAGCGTCGGTTCTTCACACCAGTGGTGTCTGTAGCGACGGTTCTTCACACCAGTGGTGTCTGTAGCGACGGTTCTTCACACCAGTGGTGTCTGTAGCGACGGTTCTTCACACCAGTGGTGTCTGTAGCGACGGTTCTTCACACCAGTGGTGTCTGTAGCGACGGTTCTTCACACCAGTGGTGTCTGTAGCGACGGTTCTTCACACCAGTGGTGTCTGTAGCGACGGTTCTTCACACCAGTGGTGTCTGTAGCGACGGTTCTTCACACCAGTGGTGTCTGTAGCGACGGTTCTTCACACCAGTGGTGTCTGTAGCGACGGTTCTTCACACCAGTGGTGTCTGTAGCGACGGTTCTTCACACCAGTGGTGTCTGTAGCGACGGTTCTTCACACCAGTGGTGTCTGTAGCGACGGTTCTTCACACCAGTGGTGTCTGTAGCGACGGTTCTTCACACCAGTGGTGTCTGTAGCGACGGTTCTTCACACCAGTGGTGTCTGTAGCGACGGTTCTTCACACCAGTGGTGTCTGTAGCGACGGTTCTTCACACCAGTGGTGTCTGTAGCGACGGTTCTTCACACCAGTGGTGTCTGTAGCGACGGTTCTTCACACCAGTGGTGTCTGTAGCGACGGTTCTTCACACCAGTGGTGTCTGTAGCGACGGTTCTTCACACCAGTGGTGTCTGTAGCGACGGTTCTTCACACCAGTGGTGTCTGTAGCGACGGTTCTTCACACCAGTGGTGTCTGTAGCGACGGTTCTTCACACCAGTGGTGTCTGTAGCGACGGTTCTTCACACCAGTGGTGTCTGTAGCGACGGTTCTTCACACCAGTGGTGTCTGTAGCGACGGTTCTTCACACCAGTGGTGTCTGTAGCGACGGTTCTTCACACCAGTGGTGTCTGTAGCGACGGTTCTTCACACCAGTGGTGTCTGTAGTGACGGTTCTTCACACCAGTGGTGTCTGTAGCGACGGTTTGGCGTCGTAGTTGCTCTTCAAGGTGTGGATGAAGGTGATTTCGACGAACTTCTTTCAATGCTTTCCACTTACTAATCACCCAAATAACGTAAGAGTACTCGAGATGTATAAAAATCCATCTCAAGGGGGGATAGAGTAGCTTAGGCTATTTCTACTCAAGTTCTGAGAATGGGTTATTCTTTAACCTGTCTTCTTAATACTAGTGTTGTGATCACTCTAACCCTCCCTTCATTCATTATCTCTCACCTCGTCAAAATTCTCTTGTTTCCTCCCCGTTCGATACCCTCTAGTGTAAGGTAGCAACCCTCCAGATTATCCCGGCTTAGTTTTCGGCTTGTATGGTTTTTATGGGCGGAATGACTTCAGACAATACTGGATCACACACACTGCCCTTCCTTCCCTTTCCTTTCCTGCTGGTTTTAATGTTATATATATATATATATATATATATATATATATATATATATATATATATATATTTTTTTTTTTTTTATTGGATATATATATAGGGGGGTACCACCACTGGTGTAATTATAGGGACCCACAGCCTCAGAGAAGGGAACACAGAGCACTCAGGGAAAAACTTGACATTTAACTCTGAATACGAAAGTGTTCACTTATATATATATAAGTTCACTTATATATATATATATATATATATATATATATATATATATATATATATATATATATATATATATATATATATAATTTTGTGTATGCGTTGGGTGTGGGAGGGTGTGTGTGTGTGTGTGTGCGCGCGCGCGCGTTTGGAAGTGAGTGCGTGTAAAAAGAGATATGTGCTTATAAGTAGGTCATGTATTAGTTAAATGTAATAACACGTGTGTGTGCATGTATGAGTGCTTATGTGCGTGTATGTGTGAGTCCGTGCGTGCGTGTGTGTGTGTGTGTGTGTGTGTGGGTGCAGTGGGCGCCGCAGTTGGGTGTGCTTGCCAACGCACTCTGGATTTTTCCCTCCGTGGCCGTCACCCACACACGAACACTGCTGGCAGCCCGGGTGCGTTCTAGTGGGTGTGGCCCGGCTTTCCTCTTGGCAGACCAGTGGCGTAGTATCGGACAGGGTGCTCGTGCGTCTGTTTCTTTGGCATTTGCGTTACTTGGCGTGTTTTGTGGGTTTGCTTTTTGTGTGTGTGAAAAGGACGAGAGGAAGAGAAACGGTTGACACTGCAGTATAGATTCGACCTTTGATTCGGGAACGCGCCATTGCGCAGTGTCGGTTTTTTCCACTATCGGAGTTGAATTAATCGATGCGAATAATCGCGTACCACAAAGTGGCAAGTTAACTGACTAATTAAACCGAGGAATCGTAGTGACACACGAGAGCAGAGCAGAAAATGATACAAAATCGGGAGAGGGTGGAAGGGTGTGGCGGCGGCTAGGACGCACCCTAGGCCGGGCCGAGCGTGGGCGGAGTCTGGCCACGACAGAACTCGATTCAGATTTCAGTGTTCCCCCAACGACGGGTGGTTAAGTGCGCGCGGGGACTGTCGCAGGCGCTCACCCAGCCCCCCAACCCCCCCTTCTTGCTAATTCCGTGCTTTAAAAATTCATACCAAGCTACCTAGAGCATGTTAAGATTTAGGGTGGGCTAAATGTGGTAGGTGATGCATCACGCCATGTTGAAAAATTGTTGTCATGGAGAATTACGGAAAAGGTTTTAGATTAGAAGGCGAGAAAAACCTTCGTTGGTGATTGGTTGGTTGGTTGAGCGGCGGGAACAACCGAGTGAGATCACTATATTCAACACAATCCTTCATCCCCCAGTGAAGTATAATCCATCGCGGCGCTTGTGTCAAGTTTAGAGTAAAGGGACTTTACGTGTTTTTGAGCCGGACTTTACTCGCCCCAATAATGCCTAGGCCTATCGTCGTCGGGGCCCCTGGTCGTAGGGGCCGCTGCGGGTGAGCGGAGAGGCCCCTCGGGGGCCCCTTCATCTGTGTTCCCTTGTGCTTGCTGTGCGTGATGGTGGCGAGGCACAACTCTGCCTCCTGCTGAAGCACGCCCCTGCTGCGGCACACACACACACACCACTCAAGCTTCTCAAACTTTTTTTTGTGAGGGTAAATTTCCAGTGCTGGTGATTGATTTGATTGATTGGTTGTCGCTGTCAGCTCCGCGGGTTGAACGACTCCGCCTCGACGTTGGGCTATGGCCGAGAGGTGCGCCGTGAGGGCTCCTGCAGCCACCTCTCCTGGGGAAGAGGAGTGAGAGGGTGGGAGGAGCAGCTGCTGGAGGGGTAGCCATGTTGTGCCTGCTGCATGCTGACGCCGGGGGAGGCTGACACTTGAGTATGATGGCTAGTGCAGCGGCCAGCGGCTGATCACCATGGATGTCAGCCCACCAGATAGGGGAGTCCCTCGCCCCTCTCCGCCGGCTGTGCCGTCGACGGGGGTGCCCAACCTGACGGCGCCTGGTAGCGTGGCGGGGCAGGCAGCAGGTCCCCCCGCCACCGTCAGGAGCACCAGCACCGCCGGCAGCCACATGGTGGCGACGCCGGGAGGGCGGACAGCGGCGGCAATGGCGGCGGCGGCGACGACGCCGCACCATCACCCGGCCGCCCCGCCGTCAGGCAGGCAACTCTCCCCCGTCACCACACCCTCGTCACCCACCTCATCACGCAAGAACACCCACACTGTCACGAGCGTCGTCAGGTCAACTGCGGCAGGTGGCAACCGACTCCTGGCCGCCACCACATCCACCATCACCACCACCACAACCACCACCACCACCGCCTTCACCACCGCCAACATCCTCGCCACATCTACTGCTTCAACAGGTTGGTCTTAATGGCGGCAGCGACATCTCTGAGCCTCATACTTTCTCTGATATTAACCCTGTGTAATACTAATACTTGTACCTTAAAAAATTTGCTTCTGATAGACGAACGTATAATTACAAAATAATCGAACTAACTAAACAGATCCTGTGTGCGATCTCTAAAAGTATCCGGCGTTGTATTGATTGGTCTTAAGAAGTTCACCCCCGGCACAAGAGCCAATTATAATATTTATCGAGTCCAGTTCATAAATGCATAGCAGTACTAGTATGGGTAAATTTTATGATCAACTAATTTTGTAAATTTGTCCAGCTTTTATTACAACAAACATTCTACGACGTTTAAACATTTTGATGTGTGTACGCTGTTTTACATCCAGGAGTTATGAATACAATAATATATTAGTAAATGTATAGACAAAAATGTAGGTTTTAAAATTGCAGGCGTTACAAAAAACTTTAAATTTATTTTTATTCATCGCCAGGCCACACACGGGTTTGATTCACTGAAAAGCAGAGTAGGAAATTATGCATTACACATTAATGCAGTGACTGTACATACTTTGCTGTGTAAACTCAGGGTTCACAGCCCTAGAATTTTAATACTATATATACAAAACTAGACTTTATATATTATACAAAATTCCTGCAGTTTTATGTCCAGTGAGAACCATTCCGCAGTAAATGCTTAACTTAACTATACACAGACTAACCACACTTAGGGTATCTTAAGTCTGTGTATACCGAACCTACCGTAGCCTTAGCCTATTTCATAATCTAAATTCGTTCTGAAAATACAGTATTACGCCACGTACTGTAAGCCCTTGAAACGTCGCTTATTCTTACTAAGCAGTTTTGCACATGTAAACAAAATTTTGTACATATTAATACAGTATGTTCAGTTTTATTTACAATTCAGTGTATACACCAAAGGGTGTAAACCTCTTTCCCTGTATTTAAAAGTGGAGAGTTTATTTTCCTGAACTACTGTATATTGATGGCTAAAGTATACATATTGGTTGGCCAGTAAGCTATTGTTGTGGCTTTAACCCTGGTGAGGTCCACAGGGCTTAAGCTCAGCACCAAACCCAAACAAACCTCAGTACGTGTACAATATAGTACAGTTTAATGTCATGAGCGTAAGATGCCCGAGAGAACACAATAACTATCTTCAACATTATGTAAATGGCTTAAGCATGCACAGCAATCATTTCTCTCACCCTCATCAGGTGTCCATTGTCTCAACATTTAATACATATTGACAACCATTTTCATCGTAATGATGCAGCCCCTGGAGGTTTTAACATGGGAGCTGGCGGCTGGGTTGGCTTATTTGGGAATTTATGAGCTAACCAGAATTACGCAGTATAGCCGAGCCTAGCCTGCTACACGTTTTGATGGATGGGTCTTACAGCCGGCCGGGAGCCGAGTGGGATAGTAACCTACCATACCGGATCGAGAGAATTTTGAAGATAACCTTCTCCTAGACTTTGCGAATGCTGCAAGATGGACTGGAGTTTCTCGATTCTTTCGGTGAATTTCGTAATGTTGGAGGTGGATTGGGCGAGATGTTTTATAGTTGACTTGTATTCAATTAAAATCGAGGTTTTAAGTGTTCGCTTTGGTTTTACTTAATTGGTTTCAGTTGGTTTTATCTATTTGTGTCGAGTTTGACGTTCTTTGTAATATTTTTAGTTCTATAAACTGGTATTGTTATAAAGTTTATATGTTTGAATCAGAGATTTCTAATGTTTACATTGAATTAATTTTTTTAATTCACAAAATTACGATTTTTTATTGAAGGCTGTGAAAGCTATTTGCGTTCTGTATTAAAAAATATAATTTGTGCGAAATATTTCAATGAAAATATATATTTTTTAATTTTGAAAAGAACTACGATGGATCAGAATTTTAAAGATTTTAAAATAAAAAATATTTTAAGTTGTAGGCCACAGATAGGCAATAATGTTTTGAAATTGAAAATGGACTGAACTAATTGCTTAAATACAAGATATCAAGCGATTTCTTTAGAATTTGTTAGACTTATAAATGCATTTGTACCAGCTTTGTAGGAAAGTTTTTATTATTTTGAAGATAGATGAATTTTGCCAGTTGCAAATTGGAAATTGTTAATTCTGAATAATTTTTCTGAATTTCGAATTGTAGAGAATCTTAATTAATTTTTTTATGGTACGATAAACTGCTCTCCTAGTAAATAACTCTCTATATCAAAGATGCATTTTTTGTTGGAGTTAGCCAAATTAAAATAGTGTCCAATCATCAAATTTGTAATGAACCAGCGGTAAAAAGAAGTACTGTACATTACTGGTACAAGACTTTAGACTAACCTTAGCTGTTGAGACTGCTCTAGGCTAATGATCTTTGGTATTGCCATGTTTAAGTCAACATCACAGAGCACCAAGCCTCTTGCAAGAAGCCAATGTTGCCGGGTTTACTACCATTTAAGGGGAAGGAAGACATTTTGTTGCTATCGGATATCACTTGAAGTTTAGACTCGTAGGATAATGTTTTAGGGTTAGATGGCGGCGAAGACAAAACAGTGAGCAATAATATTTTCTGTTTACTTATTATTATTACTGGTGAAGACAAGTGAGAAAACGGTAATACAACGGAACAACTGTTTGTAGTCAATTTTAATATTAATTGTTAACAGTTACAATGAGAATTATGTATTATCTGTGACTGCTGTTGATGGTCTGATTCAAATAATAATAATACTTTAATAATAATAAAGTATTAATAATTGTGTCCAAATGGTTAATACATTTTATTGTGTGTTTCATTATTAGACTGTTTGATTAGTTATTATTAAATTACAGCGATATCATAAAATCTTTATTGTTACAATAATAATATAGGTTTTTAATTGTTAACTATTATTGTATATTTTTAATTTAACCAAAGTAAATTTTTTGTATAATACTGTATATGGATTAATCGTGAGAGAAAATTGCTCATGACACTTGAACAAATCAAATATATAGAGTAGTGCATACCTTGCCTAATGCAGTTCTCTTCAGTAACTCTTATTAGGCTGTTTGATATCGTACAAGGAAAGAGTGGGCCTAAGTACGTTCATCAACAGGCACGCTTTCATTAATTAAGTAAAACTTAAAACGTCTTAATTAACCACCATCTTTGCTAGGTTTTTGTCCTCGAATATATTTCGTCTGGTTCTATTTAACGGTTAATATATTTTCGTAATATTTTTAACATCCAGTACTGCATTTTTATCTGAAAACTACGGGTTATTATAGGCTTGCGGTGATTGGAATTGGCTTGATAGTATTATTTATTGTCATATGCTAATTATATTTTAACAAATATCTCACCTATGACCATAGCCTAGGATGATATAGTGGAGGATGGAAGCAGTTTCTTAGGATTTTGAACACCTTGCTGCAAAACTCCCTTGGGTGTTAATCAGTTTTCTCGCTCTGTATTTGTATGCAAATTTAGGTATGTGGCATATTGATTTTTTTTTTCATATACGGTAGTGCAATTATATTTGTTTAATGCGACTACGGCCCACTGTCTGAATCATTTAGTTATTTTTTTTTTAATTTGTATATTTTGCACTGTATTGTGGTGTGCTTGAATATGTTTGAATTATATTTAATATTCTTTTAGATAGTGTAATGGACGAAAGCGTTCGATTATTTTTAAGTTGAATTCCTTCGTGGTTCTGTTATCACATGCTTGCATTCATTTTTACACACACACACACACACACACACACACACACACACACACACACACACACACACATATATATATATATATATATATATATATATATATATATATATATATATATATATATATATAATATAATATGTCGTACCTAGTAGCCAGAACGCACTTCTCGGCCTACTATGCAAGGCCCGATTTGCTTAATTAATAGGCCGAGTAATTGTCTTTATTATCAATTTTTTTCCAAATAGTTTATTTGAATTATTATTATTTTATATTAAGACCATAGTTTATTGACTTAGTTATGTTAGTTTAGGTTAGGTTAAGATAGGTTAGGTAGGGTTGGTTAAATTCGGTCAAATATCTACGTTAGTTTTAACTCAAATTTAATCAAATTATCTTGTACATAATGAAATGGACAGATTTATCATTTCATAAGAAAAAATTTGGAAAATATAAATTCTGGAAAAATTGGCTTATTATGCAAAACGGGACTTGCATAGAAGGCCGAGTACGACGTTCTGGCTACTAGGTACAACACACATTATATATATATATATATATATATTATACAGTATATATATTTTTAATCAGAACATCCAACAGCAGTCAAAGATAATACATAATTCTCATTGTAACTGTAACAATTAATATTAACATTTACCATATATATATATATATATATATATATATATATATATATATATATATATATATATATATATATATATATATATATTACTTGTTCGCATATATATATATATATAATATATATATATATATGACAGATTTATATATATATATATATATATATATATATATATATATATATATATATATATATATAATTGCGTGCGCGTGTGCATGTGTAAAAAAGTGGATGGTAGGCTGAGCAAATATTTGTACGCATTTAGAGTCAAACGACAAGTTTTTCTCCAAATGTTCTTCATTTCCTTCAATATTTCGATGAAATAAGGAAATATAAACTTTTTCGATCCCAAACTTGGGACTAAAATATTTAACACAGTATATTTACTTTTAATAAATTTAGTACTCTAGTACAGTATTGTATGTACACAGTATATATATCATTTAATTTATTAGTGAGCATTATACATCTCTCTCTCTCTCATATATATATATATATATATATATATATATATATATATATATATATATATATATATATATATATAAAATATACACGCGCGAGAGTATGTTATAAACTTATTTTAAATTATATTAAACATCATAGCAGGATTAGATGCTCAAAAATGTGACAGAGGGAGCATTGGAATATTATGTTTGGGGGGGATGAGAATATATATGCTTCTGTTAGTGCTGTGTAAATATTTCAATATGCATGTATATCAGAAAATCCTGAGAAGGGCGCAACTGTGTAGGGAGAGAGGGGTAGAGTCAACGCTCCGAGTAGCATTTGTTTATTTACAGGGCCATTTTGATGGGGAGGTGTTGAGGGGGAAGGCCATTTTGATGGGGAGGTATTGAGGGGGAAGGCCATTTTGATGGGGAGGTGTTGAGGGGGAAGGCCATTTTGATGGGGAGGTGTTGGGGGAAGGCCATTTTGATGGGGAGGTGTTGAGGGGAAGGCCATTTTGATGGGGAGGTGTTGAGGGGAAGGCCATTTTGATGGGGAGGTGTTGAGGGGAAGGCCATTTTGATGGGGAGGTGTTGAGGGGAAGGCCATTTTGATGGAGGTGTTAGGGAAAGGCCATTTTGATGGGGAGGTGTTGAGGGGAAGGCCATTTTGATGGGGAGGTGTTGAGGGGAAGGGCATTTTGATGGGGAGGTGTTGAGGGGAAGGCCATTTTGATGGGGAGGTGTTGGCCCCGGGGAGGGGGGGGAGAGCCATTTTGATGTGGTGTTGGGCCATTTTGATGGGGAGGTGTTGGGGGGGGTAGAGCATGGGAAGATAGGAAGGTGTATTTTAGGGGGAAAATAGGGAAGTATATTTCAATTTGGTACAACTTAAAAACTGCAGAATTTATCGTTTGCAATGGTTTCTATGTGTGTATTTTATTGTACTTTTATTGGTTTATTTTGTATGAATTTTTATTAAACAGTCCTGTATTATATGACAATATCACTCATCTTTCTGTTTTTGTTTTAAAGTATGCTTTATTTGTTTTCTTTGATTTTTTGTTTTCTTAGATTGATAGCTGATCAGAACAAATTTTGTTTTATGAATAATCTGTTTTATATTTATTTTTAATTGATGCGGATTTATTTATTTGATTACTGTATTTGCTGCTGTAGCGAGGACCTAGTGATAAATATTTATAATATGCAATTGTTTATAATTAATTTGCAATAATGACTAACTACAGGTTAGCTTAATTTTGAAGGTATTAGCTGTTTGCCATTAATTAAATATTTGCCTTTATTTTAGGCTATTAGATTTTTTGTTAATGATAATTTCACTCATTTTTTATTATATTTTGGGTTTCTTGATTATTTGTTTTGTAGATTATTGCAGGTATCTACATCTTGTTACAAATTTATTGAACTTATTTTTTGTTTTTTTAATTTTGAGAATAATTTGATGTTAAAGTTTAGACCTATGTACTTATTTCAAGTACTGTACTATAGAATTCTATAGAATATATATCTAGAATTACAGTACTGTACTGTATTTCCTGTCGGTTATCTTATTTATTTCCAGATGTATTTTCGTTTATTGTAGAATAGGCTATTGTATATATTTTTATTTTATTCCTTTGCAGTGTTGTGCTTATGTGAATCATTTTATACCAGAATTATAAATACTGTATTATATAAAAAAAAATCTTTTTTATGGAGATGCAACTTTAATGCATGTATAAATATGACCTATGTTTTGTAAGTTAAAGTTTAAATAATGCTGTGCTGTATTAGCAGAGTTGAGTGATTAACCCGTATATGTTGATAGTGCACACTACACTGCACTGTGCACTGATAGTGCACATTGGCTACCAGACAGAACGTAGTACTGTATGCAGGCGATGAGTCACAATAACGTGGTTGAAGTATGTTGACCAGACCACACACTAGAAAGTGAAGGGACGACGACGTTTCGGTCCGTCCTGGACCATTCTCAAGTCGATTGTCGACTTGAGAATGGTCGTCTCAAGCACAAACGTCTAGTGCTGTATGGCCATGGAATTGATTTGGATTATTAGTGGTCTATCATGTATTGTGTTCCAGATTCCAAGCACTTTTAGGTATACATTAAATTGTAACTTGTACATTAAACTTAAGTGTGGAGTGAAGAAAACCTGGTGCGTAGTTACCGATCAGTTCGTTGACTTAGTAAATGTTACTTACGTCTTGTGGATGATATGCTCAAAACAAGGAATAGTTTTGTTTACTATTTACTATTGTTTTGTTTACAAAACAAGGACTAGTTTTGAGTAGAATATAAGAGCCATTTTGTGTGTGAATGTTTACAAATTTTAAATAATTTTGTGTGAGTGTTGCTACATTACAAACTATTTTGTTTTTTTCCGTTTTCCAAATAATTTTGTTAAATGTTGAAAGATAAACAAAAAATTTGTTTCCAGATTTAAAAAAAAAAAAAATGTGCGCTTAAAGATTCCAACAATTTTTTGAGCGTTTCCAAATTTTTAACTACTTTGTGTTTCCATATTCTAAACAATTTTGTGTAAGCATTTACAAATAGATACCAGACAATTTTGTGTAAGCGTTTGTAGATTGCAGACAATTTTGTGTAAGCGTTTGTAGATTGCAGACAATTTTGTGCAAGCGTTTGTAGATTCCAGACAATTTTGTGCAAGCGTTTGTAGATTCCAGACAATTTTGTGTAAGCGTTTACAGATTCCAGACAATTTTGTGTAAGCGTTTGTAGATTCCAGACAATTTTGTGTAAGCGTTTGTAGATTCCAGACAATTTTGTGCAAGCGTTTGTAGATTCCAGACAATTTTGTGTAAGCGTTTGTAGATTCTAGACAATTTTGTGTAAGCGTTTATAGATTCCAGACAATTTTGTGTTTGCATATAAAAAAAATTGTTTCCATATTCTAAACAATTTTGTGAGTATTTCCAGATTCCAAAGAGTTTTGTGAGAGTTTCTAGATTACAAAATATTTTGTGCGAGTGTTTTCAGATTACAAACAGTTTTGTGAGTGTTTTCAGATTACAAACAGTTTTGTGAGTGTTTTCAGATTACAA